ACACGGACAGCGACAGCGCCGTGCGGCTCGACAGCGACGGGCTGCCCCGGTCGCTCGCCACCACCGTCACGTTGTGCTCGGACGCACGCTCCCTGTCCAGCGCGCTCGCCGTCACCACCTTGTACGAGYTGCCCGACGACGCCACGATCGACAGCGGCGACTCGCCCTCCAGCTCGCACCACACCTTCCCGTTCTCGCCGGAGTCCGCGTCGTGCACGTTCACGAGGGCCACCACGGTGCCGGGCGGGGAGTCCTCGGGTACTGAGCTCGACACAGACAACGTCGTTATCTCGGGCGCGTTGTCGTTCTCGTCCGTGATCTCTATGTGCACTTTGCAGCGACCATTCAGCCCACCCCCATCCCTCGCTTCCACTCCGAAGGTGTATTTATTCCGCTCCTCGAAATCCAGAATTCCCACATTGCGGATGTCACCGTTCTCGCTGTCTATGCTGAACACAGCGCGGACAGCGTCGGGCACGTTGCTGAAGGAGTAGGAGACTCGTCCGTTGGAGCCCGCATCCGCGTCCGTGGCTCGCACCTGCAGCACCAGCGAGCCCGTCGCCACATTCTCCCGCACTCGCGCCTCGTAGCTGCTTTTGCTGAACACRGGCGCGTTGTCGTTSGCGTCTGTCACSTTGATGYGAATCTGGACAGTGCCCGACCTCGCTGGAGACCCGCCGTCCACCGCCGTCAGCACCATCTCAAACGAGCTCTGCTTCTCGCGATCCAAGGCTGCTTGTAACACTATCTCGGGCTGCCTGCTTCCATCTGGGCTTTCCTTTACTGTCAAGCTGAAGAAGGGGTTTTCGGTGAGCTGGTAGGTGAGYARWGAGTTGCTTCCCAYATCCGGATCTTGCGCYATCTCMAGYGGAAAYYGCGCAYCAGGAAGWSTCCATTCYSCGATYKCYAGWTCGAGAGCAGCCTTGCTGAAGACCGGGGAGTTGTCRTTGATGTCCTGGATRTCYACGTCGACGTKGAAAACRTTGAGAGGGTTCTGCACGACCGCYTCGARACTGACCGAGCAGGACGCCGAGTCSCCGCACATCTCCTCGCGGTCCAGACGCTCRCTCACGTACAGGTGCCCCGTGTCCGCACTCACCGAGAAGTATTTCAGCTGTYTTCTAGCCGCCGAGACCAGGCGCAGCTGCCGTGCGGGCAGGTCTGYYGGGCTCAGCCCCAGGTCCCGCGCCAGCGGCCCCACCACGGAGCCGCTCTCCATTTCCTCGGGAATCGCRTAGCGCAGCCGCTCCGGCGCCGCCCGGCAGCAGAGGGGCAGCAGCACGGCCAGCAGCACGAGATGCCCGGCTGCTCCCCGGTGCTGTGCTGCCTGTTCCGCTCCCATTCCCACCGCTCCCAGCCTTTGCTGCGCTGCGTCCCCGCCTCACGTCCTCCGGTACTTCCCGGCTCTGCAGATCAGCTGCAGCTGGTTCGCAGATCAACGTGTGCTGCAAGAAAGAGCCCACCTTCGCTGTCCTCTGCGGATCCCCTCTGCTCGTTCTTCTTCTCCGGTCCACTCTGCGGTTTCTGCAGCTCTGCTCTTCTCTTCCGGCTGCCACGCAGCGCTTCGGAGCGGGCAACAGCGGCACCCAGAGTCCCCGCGCCGCCACTGCAGCTCGCACAAAGATGCCTAGGTCCCGCGGAAAGCGGCAAGTCGCGGCCGCGCTCTTCCCACGGGTGTTCATTATCCAAGGGCTGCTTTTTTAGGCCTTGGACCTCACCACGTTCCACCCCGTGCTTTCCTAGAACGTAGCCTTAGGCAATCTATCGTCCTCCACAGCAGCAATTTCAGAACATGCCTGATGAATTTTCATTTTGCCTCTGAGGTAGTACCCTGATTAATGTATGCCATAGATATATTTGCTTTGTTATGGACAAGAAAAGATTCCATATTTGAGGTGGAAGAAATGCTCTCGGGCCCTATGCTTCCAGCACTATGTGCWTCACACTCACTGCCACATATGGCTGGTATGATTCCAATGCTGGTGTTTTGTTCAGGGAAGAGCAAGGTGCTACTTTTGCCCCTTGGGCTGTGAGGCATCTGTTTGAATGTGATGTAAAACTTGAACAATGTCCTATGTAAGGCTGTAATCTAAGAATAAATGATACTGCATCTCCATATGAAAGAGAACAAAACATTTGTATAAGCTCAAGGCATTTGT